GGTGCGCGCGGCGGCGGCGACGCCGGAGGGCGTGCTGAGCCTGGCGGAGCTGCAGGCTGTCGTGCAGGATGTGTTTGACACCAAGCTGCAGGCCAACGCAAAGTGAGCTGGCGGGCTTGGGGCTGTTAGTGTCCCTCCAGACGCGCCTGGCGCGGTTTCAGAGTGTGCAGTAGGTGATTGCGTGCGCATGAGGGGCAGCGAGCGTCCTGCATCGCCTGCGCCGCGCGCGGCGTGCAGCGCCCTGTCCGTTGGAAAGGGCCGACCGTCGCCGACCGCTCGCCCCGCAGGTGTGTCGACAACCGGCGCCCCGTCCAGACGATGGCCCAGCATCTCGACAGTGAGCGCAACGCGGCGTGCCGCGGCGCCCGCTTGTACAGATGCGAGGCAATCCGGCTTGACGCCCTCCGCAAAAAGCGGCGCGGCGCCCCGCGCCCCGCCCGGCATCCAGCGCTCCCTTCATCGCCCGCCGCCGCGCCCGGCCCGTCACCCACCCACGCGTCCCCCCTCCCCTCCCCGGGGACCCTCGCCGCGCTTTTTTTCCATCCTGCCCAGCCTATGTTCTGCGCAAGACCTCGAGCGTCGAGACGGCCGACCGCGCGATGGCTGCCATCATCCGCGCCGTCACCTGCCACGTGGCGACGCAGCCCGACGTCGCGCTCTTTGCAAAGGTGCGCGCTCTTTTGCATTCGGCGGCACGGGCGCCGGCGCCGGCGCCGGCGCGGGCCAAGCAGCAAACTGTTGTCCTGCCTGCGCGCGCTTGGTGTTGGCCCCAGCTCTTGCAGGGCGTGCCAAGCGCACCGCCCTCTTCCACAGCCTACGTCAACTCTGTATGGTATCTTGGATCGTACCTGCACTCACCGTCCACGCCCATCCACAACTACCTCGATGCACTTCCCTTCCCCCCTTGCATGCTCTTCGTTACATACTCGCCCCAAACATCCTGAGCCCCACCTACCCCCTCCTGGACCCTTGACCCACGCGCATGTGCCCCAAACCCCACCACCCGCCCGACTTCCAAGGTGCTGTCAAACGAGGTGGAGGAGGAGTTCCACCAGGAGCAGCAGCGCCACCGCCAGCGCTTCATGCGCGTGGCTGCCGCCGCCCTGTGCCTGCCATCCGGCACGCCCGTGACGCCGTCCAGCGGCAGCAGCAGCGGCGGCGGCGGCGGTGGTGGTGGAGGCGCAGCGGCCGCGCCACAGGCGGCGCTGCAGCGGCGGCTGCTCGAGCCGCTGGCTGCGGACGAGGTGGCGCGGGTGCTGGAGGGGTGGTGCGCCGGCCGGGGGCGCGACGAGGCGCAGGGCGCGGCGGCGGCGGTGCAGCGGTGGGCGGCGAGCCACTGCCCCGGAGGTAGGTGGTGCGGTGCTCCTAGGGGCGTCACCGGTCACGAACCCGAGCAGGCATGAGGCATGCTGGGTGGACGGCGATCTGAGGCGTGCGTTCTGTGGCAGTTGGTGCGAGGGCAGCGCTGACCCGCCTCTTCCGCCGCCCTGCACAGGCTGCCACACGCCGCTCTCGCTCTGCAACGCGCTGCTTGCTTGGGAGCTGCGACAGCACGAGGTGGGGCCGCGAGCATTGCCTCACACGGCTCCTGCCGTTTGTGGCGATTGACATAATGCCGCAGCAGCACCGCTTGCTTTTGATGCATCATTCCTTGGCCTAAAAGAGCATCTGACTGAACCACTTCATTGCGTTGTGATGCCTTGTTTTCCTGAAGTCCTGTGCCTGCCTCCCCCTTACTCGCGCCTAGCACCGCGCTGCCCAACCACGCCGCCCCCCGCACGCGCCCGCCCGCCCCCAGGCGTCCCTGGAGGCCGTTGTCACCCACTTCCGCGCCGTCGACCGCTCCGGCACCGGCGCCCTCACCTCGCAGCAGTTCCGCCGCTTCTGCCGCCGCCTCAACCCGGGGGCCATGAGCGACGACGAGGTCGCGGAGCTGTTCAGGGAGCTGTGCCCCGCGCCTGGGCGCTACTCTGGCGGCCTGGGGTACCCCGCCGCGGAGCAGAGGGTCGCGTTCAGCACGGTGGCCTCCAGCCTGCTGCAGGCGATCCGAGACGCAGAGGAGGGCGCGGGGCTGCAGGAGGGAGCGTGAGATCGAGAGAGGGAGAGGCGTGGGGCCGCTTGATGGGCCCGGGGGCTTGGAAGTCGAAAGAGCGGCCGGTTGGGGGCTGCCGTCCTTGTCAGCGCCGGCTGCTTGACCGGGGCAGAGGGGTGTGGCTGCTTGGGCCGTTTTTGGGGCTGGCTATTGGGAGGGGGGACGACCAGGGGGGACGACGCATGGGTGGCTCAAGTCTGCATGGGAGGGTGCCTCTCTGCGGGTTAGCTGGTGTCAAGAGGCTGCCCCAGTGATGGAATTTGATGGCATCGCGGCGATCGTGCTGCTGGCCGGTGTGACGCAGCATCGAATGTTCTGCCGGAGGTGATTGCGAGCAGCCGGTGGCTTTGAAACAGTGGCGGAGCAACCTTTGTGGGGCGCACCGCCAGGCTGCGTGTAGGTCATGGGTAGCAAGAACTGCATTTTGCTCGCGGTAGCAAGCTGGGGGTTCCCAAGTCAACAGCAAGTCAAACCTGTACAAAAGCGTGTGTGCGCAGTTACTGGTCGCGCGGCGTGCGTGCGTTACACGCTTCGATGTGTGAGATGTTTGAGCCGTTGATTGTGTAACCACGCTGACTATCGGCCAGGACGGCCATGCGATGGCTGTGAGATTGACAGAGCGTCCCAGGGGTTCAGACGCGCGCTCTTCAGGCGGCTGGTGCCAGTACGAGGAGACAGGAGGGCTCTCGAGCCAACGATGCTAGTCGACGGTGGACACCACTTTCACTGCGAAAGCCCTTTCTGGAATTCGAAGCCCCAGCACTCAATGCAGCTGCAGCAACCTGCGCCGACGCCTTCTTAGGCGGCGCCGGTTCCTCCCCCATGAATTGAGAAAATGCAGGTGGCAACAGCGGGGACAGCCCCGCAATCCAAGGTTTGATGATGACAAAGGGCAATGCTCGAGCTTCGGAACAGCACGCGTGGCCGCCGCCCAAAATCAGGCGGGGCAGTTGGGCGCTGCAACTCGCAATCCCTTCTTGGCCCGAATCGTACCTCGAGTATGATAGAAAACACACCAGCTCGCGCTGGCGGCGCGGATTCAATGCCTGCCTCTGGCCGGCGCCCGAATTTGCTTTCAGGTCGCGCCTCCCCCCTCCCCCGAGCATTCCAAACGTGACGTCCCCACTGCAATAGCAGGCCCCTGCCAAAAAAAAGTGACCTGCGCAGCTACCAGGCAGCTGCTTCACCCGAAGATGTGGGCGTAGCGGTTGATCAGGCTCTCCAGCACGAGGACGACAGCCTGCGCCTCATCGCCTTCCAGCGGCACGATCTTCTGGGCGCCCTCCGCCGCGGCCACCGCCGCGCCGCCGGTCGCCGTTGCGGGCACATCCGCGTTGGCGGCGGAGGCGGGCTCTTGTGCGTCGGCGCCGTCGCCGCTGGCAGCCACAGGCCTGGCGGGCTTCAAGGCCGGGGGCAGCCAGGCGACGCAGGGCGCAAGCGCCTGGGCCAGCGCCTGCGCGGGCGGCGCGGAGAAAGACGGGGTGTGTCCCTCCAGGCGCGCCGGCGCGCGGCTGGGCGGGCAGGAAGCTGGGGCGCGGCTGGCCAGAGGCCGGGGCAATGCATGGAGAGGTGCGAACCAGCCTCCTGCCCCCTTTGATGCTTCTGTGCTGACACCGCCGCCTCTGCTGCTGTCTGCCTTGGCAGAACAACACCTGGCGTTCCACATTCGCAAACGGCCACGGCGAGCCGTCGTGACGGAGATTATGAGTATTCCCCCACACCGGCCGCCGCCCTGGTGGGCCCCCGCTCACCAGCGAGTCCATCTCGGTGTCGGCCGCGTTGCCATTCACATAATAGGCCACCTCCAGCAGCAGCCGCAGCACGTTGGCGTTGGCCGCGGGCAGGGCCGCCAGAAGCGCGTCCACCCTGCCGCTGCTGCGGGCGCGCGGGGCGGGGC